TGCCCACATCCCGTCGATGAAAGATGCCGTCGTGGCGTGGAAGGGAGTGGACATCATCCCCATCTTCCAAAATAATGAAGGCCGATATGCTAATGCCATCGGTGAAGATGGGGATGATGTCAACCGCCTTCCACGCGCGACGGCATCTTCCATCGACGGGCTGTAGCCAGACGTAGACGTAGTGCTCTCCAACGTATGATGTGGTAACCCTTGGTGCGTTAATCGGGCTCAAACTCGTCTGGCTGGGTGGGACACACATTGCGTGCACTTTAGCTGCTTGTCGCCCGAGCTAGACTTTGTTCAATGCATGCATGTACTGTACATCGGACACGATTGGGACAATGGACAGAGCCAAGAGCGTGAGGGTGTCCCAGGGAGCCCAAAGGATCTCGAGCGTTGTACACACGTTTTGGCAGAAACCCCGTGCGACTCGCAGAATATGGCTTGCCCACGATACGAAACCATGGTAGGTGCCACGGCGTGGGCACTCCAAGAAGGTACATCTAAAAAGTCTTCGATCTTCATATTTCACACTACTCAAGTCCTCCTCTTCCCGACCAACATTCACAGGTCAACGAAAACAACTTGGGCACCCAATCGAAAAGTCGGCGCCGTGTGTAAAGGCCCTTATCCGAGACGTGCGGACGTACGCTGACAAATGCAACGGGTCGTTGCGACCGGTGCCCATCGCTCGCGACAACGTCGATATCGATACCTCCTTGCACCCCCGTGCTAGTTGGCTCGGCTACTACGACTGCCCCAAAGACGGTAATGAAAAAACCCGAGCGGAATGGTACGACCCAACGAAGCAACACCATTTTCAAGGTGCGAACAACGTAGGATTGGGTTCACCCCATATGTCGAATGTGACACGACCATCCACGTCACGTATGGTGCAACTCACCTAAAGACTACAAATAAATACCTTGACTTTCGACAGCTATTCCAACTTTGTATTGATATTATTTAGGAAAATATACCGTAATAACGATTGAACTGGACAAGCCCAATAGAAGTTACGGTTCAGATTTTCGATTGGTGAAAAATTGATCGAGTAATAGAATATAAACCAACCGGCCTTTTTGTACGGAGATATATGGAACCAGGTACAGTACATTTTGGCCGAAAAGGAGTATCAAGTATATCTTGGTCTTCGTATACAGCACTTATCCGTATGAACGTTTCGATTGTATCCGGATTATTCACAATGTTTAACCTAATTACCAGGTAAAAAACGTAACTAATAATGATTTCACGTCAACATTTCGTGGGTTTAACTGAAAGAACCGAGGCGTTTAATAGTAAAACGTCTCCTCCTGAGGATGGCCGATCTGTTGTCTTTAGGTGACTTGCACCATATGAAGACTCGAATGGGCTGCAAAAGCTCGTGAGTGACTGTTGTCTTGCGCCGGTGTTCGCAACCGACGACTACCGTGTTCACAACGGTGACCTCGATGACAAATCCAAAAGTAACTTCATTATCCAGTCAGTCAGTCAGTTCCTTCCTATCACTTCACTACTCTCTACAAAGTCATGCATCGTACAGTGTACCATCAGCTCGGAACATATGCCGCTC